GGTGGTTAATTTTAATCTCCTTTCACACATATATGTGAAGTCAACCTCTGCAAAGTATTTGTCACGAAATTCACGAAGACTCACATGCAAAGCTGTGTGGAAAATATTGTCGGGATTCCCGAGTCACTCTGTGTAATGCAATCACCATATATGAGTAAGAAGTTATCCCGTATTTTAACCTACATCCATGTGCAATTGTTACACTTTTGTCACAAGATTCCTGTTTTCATGCACTTTAAACTAAGGTGTTGTGATTGGGAGCCTTTGTGAGTTTGAGGTTGGATTGAGACTCACATCGTTAAAATTTGTCAAAATAAATGTGTTTTGCAATATTTCGGCAAAGAAATCGTCCTATGACACCGGTATTTTGATGGAGGTGAGAATGGCGAAATGTTGGCTGCATTTGCATTACTCATCCAAGACTAAATTCCGGAAGATGTGTGACCCAAAAAAATGAAATACCAGTTAATATTCTCGCATGAAATTGCTTACCAAGTAGAATGTTAGCGAAACATTTTTTTTTAAAAGCTGGCTACCTTTGAGGCTTATAAGTTTATTGGATGAAAATACTAATAATAATTCCAATCTCGTGGAGTGGTATTTTCAATTTATTTGGTGGGCAAACATTGGAAGCAAAAGATGCTCTGACAACTACTTCGACACTGGCCAGCCTTTTCCTGTTCCCACCACTCATTTTTTCAGCCTCACAGTTCTTCTTTTACATTAATTGGCCTATTACTCATAAATGATAAAGGAAAGGCTATACGCGAAATTTGCCTCCATATTTCAGAATTTATAGATGTTTTCGTCGTGGTTTGGCGGTGTATTGCTATGATGCAGAGGGGAGACTGAAAACCTACAAGAAAAACTAAAATAAGCAGAATACACAACGGAGGCTGAAATAACGGCATCCACAGTAAAAGTTGAGATAGCCAAATCCTAAAGCAGACGCTTGAATATTCAGTCCGACACCAGAGGCTGACGAATTAAACCCATATTAGAAGTTTTAAATATTGCCCCAAAAACAGCTAATAAAGCAACCGTACCCAGAGCAGGGGCTGGAAATACCATTGTAATTTGCATTTGATGCGGCAGTCAGCAGTGAATGTCAAAGCATCGATGAATACGTAGTATCATCTACATGAAGCCCTCTTTTCGTAAAAGGAATCTACTTAAATTGTAATAATATCTTCTACCAAACAAATAAGTGAATATAGTACCCTAAATAAAACTGTTTTTCCAGTTAGGACCCATTGTTTTTGGTGACATTGGATGTACAAAGCTTCAGACACGCTATGTTTACTTGTCAGATGATTTTATGGTGATGCATGCCGCACACAATTTGTGGATTGAAGTCAACAATCTAAATGGTGGCATCAGACGAGGAGTATACTTACTGTGAGGTAAACAACTCACCGTTTTTGACCATTTGGTAGCTCCTGGTAGCGAATTGACTTGTGAATCTTCTACTCGAACACGTCAAAATGAAGATGAATGGATTCACTTCAACAATGGATCTTGAAAGCAATCCTACGTAATCTTACAAACAATTTTAAAAAAAATGATGCTGGAATTGCAGAGTTTAAGTTTTCATAACCATGCGGCTCTTTTTTTTCAGGCACTAAAACTGATCACAATGAATCGTGTTGGCTCGATTTCCTTCAGAAAGAAGAGGAAGTAATCTAATCATCTGTTGAAGGTGTTCAAAGTGAGTGTTTTATACAAATGTGGGAATGCAGATGCCTGTTTTGACATGTTTATGTGCTTTTGGAAATTAATTTAAACTAATTTAGGAACAAATATTTAAATTGTTGCCCTAATAGTCCTTCAAATTAACTTTGTCCTTCTCTTTTAAACTTAGCATGCAACTACTGGAAACATTCAGTTTTGCAAAGATTAATTAATGCTTTTGTCGATTTGGAACTTCAGCAAAGTCCCAAAGTACCGCTGAAGAAATCGGGGTAATCCAGTTACATTGACTTATGGTCCTATTTAACTTGATTTTGTCTCTTATATAGTAAAAAATTCAGTTTAAGTTATTTATTAAAATCGAATAAGACCTTGCTTTGGTTTATTTTTTAAAACAAGAATGAAACCTCCCAAGTACTCCTCTGGAATATTGATTCCTATCCTGAATTCTGGAATGCTTCTAGGCTCAGCACGTATTGGCTAGCTAAACACTAAAGTTTACCGGCAAAAGAGTCAGCCTCATATTTTTGCTCCCTCTTTACATGAAATATGTCAACATTTCTAGTCGAATAAATGGGGTAATATGTAAGGTTTTGAATAAAGTCAAATCATGTATCCAGGTTCTTCCAATCAAATGGGGTCAAACAAATGGATAGAAGTTTTGTCGACCTTCTTTTTGAAAGCTAAGTTCCCTCCGGATGTTTAAAGGGCTGACGTAATTGCGACTGCTCACGTAATTGCAAGAATTTATGGTAAATTTCTAATGTTCATCTTCTAAAATTGTAACAACGCTAAATTCACATTTCCACCTCCCGTACTTTGGAATAACTTCAAGTGGTCGTGAGCATTCTAGAAGTGAAAAAGAAATGGAGGCTCAAGTTAAATGACCTGTTAAAACAAGCGCTTTTTGCGGAATTTCAACAATAAAGGGTGCTTTGATGTTACGCCAGAAATTGAAATGAAGAATGGATGAAAGTGAGTTACATAAGGCATTGAACGCTTCGAGGTTTGCATGTTTGCTACTTAAAAAATAAGTAGTAGTTAGTGTGGAGGAAGGACTAAAAAATTTTCTACTGTGATCTTATTATACTTCGCCTGTATTTGGACAAGTTTCCATCAAAACAAATGTCCCGTTTCTCGCAAATCATCATAAATTAAAGAGTTTGGTAAATACCTCATCCAAGATGTGGTGGCCGATCATTGTTTAGTTTTCACCGCATGAAAGTCGCTTTTAGTAACATCACATTAGTGACAGCGAGAATTCTGGAAGCAGGTAAGTAGTTGCACTCCCACCATCATATAAAATACCTTGAAAATTCCAGGCGACGCCAAAAGTACTGAATAAAGTCAAGCCGTGTGCTCTTACCTTTGATTTGACGTCAGTCGCACCAATCTAACCTCCAAAATATTTGTCCTCCCACAGACCACTGTGGCTCCCGTGGTCGCTGCGTTTAACTTCTTCGGAAGATCGTTTTTTCTTCTACAAATAGTATAAACTTGGGCCGTTTTCCAACTTTGATATTTATTACATCTTCATGCAAACACAAAGACTATCCCTCCTCTTTTCTAGCATAGATTTATTCCAAACTGTGAAAATAAATTCCACATTATGCAGCTCATCAAATTACTTGAGTATATTAAAGAAGTGGATATATTTATCTTGGATTTTGATGCCATTTAGTTAGCTACTAGTGTGGAACTGTAAATTTTTACTTAGTGCAATCAGTACACAAGTACGCATTGATGAAATCTGCGATTCCTGCATCCAAGTATGAATTGGAAAATCTGGGGTGCGTTTAATACCCTACCTCTTCCTCCAACTTCTCCCACATGTATAAATGTAATAAAAATTCAATTTGCTATACACTTGCCTATGATATCTAATGCACAAATTCGTGCAGATACTTCGTCCTCCATTTGTATTGAACAGGTTGCAGGTTGACTCTGACACCACTACTACTTACAATCCATCAGCAACCAATGCGACACGCGAGTTGATAAAAGACATCACTTCATCACACGACCCATTGATGACTTCGACGATTCCATTTCTAGCTACGACCGCTTAAACAGAGTATCAACTGATGTTGATTACACACACGTTGACAACAATGACATTGTTATGCAACGACCAGCACAACCACACTTCATCCGTCACCCCACCCAACAGTAAACACTATCAAGTACGATCCATCAACTACCAATGCTAGGTACCCTCCAAAGTTGGCTTTTAACAAAATCAAAATACTGCAAGACGAATTCTGGAAGACAAAGATGTCAACAAAAATGATTTCCACAATCCCAAATGCACCTCAATTATGCTGAATTTCGATAGATGCCTTTCAAATATGTCGTGTAATATAAAGATTGTTCTCGTCTCCGTGTTTCCACAGCCAGGTATATAAAAAGAAATTCCCTCCGTTTAAGTAAACTCTGCAGTTAAAATCACCACTTTCCAAACTGCCATATGAAAGCAATCCTGTATTTTTAGTTAAAATGTTACCCACAAACTAAGAATAAGGGCAATGGAATTAGAGGCCACAAGTGGTTTCGAGACAGGAGACATCATAAGGGATGCTTCATGTCTGTTTGTCTCAGCTTCCATTGTAGCCCTCATTGATGAGACGGAAAAGCTTCAGCCAATAAAACTATCATAAATTAGAGTGCAAGAAAAATTTTGTTAAATGCTTTCTAACGAGAGCTCTTGTGACCACTTAATTACCTTTTGTCTGCTCATTTTTGTAAGTAAATGCTATTGGGTGGGTGCCTTGTACACTATGAATTCCAGTACTTTAGTCTAAACTATTTCTCCTTCTTGGCTGGTTGTATATTTATTCGGTATTCCACAGCGTTGCCTATTTTTATTCTGATTATGCGTCAACTTTCTCCCTTTTTTTATTTAGGTATTACTCTAAAAAACTGTGTTTAACTTAATCCTTTCACTTTATCAGTATTGAGGTGACATGAAGAATTGAGAAATGCATCAAGCTGACTTTTACAAGTTCGTCTAAAATTATATAATTCGTGTTGCTTTCTAATTTAGCGATATGTTGCCTAGTCAAGGGATTTGCTACACATTATTCTAGGTAAAATATTCATTAAAGATTAGTACAATAGGCGAAATGCCAATTTGATTACTGAATACTAGAGAAAAATAAATCTCCTATGATATGAAGTAGTTATGCAAAGATGTGTCTTAAGTCTTCCTGTAATATTTTAATTATTTTTAAATCTCGGTTTCTGTAAAGGGTCACTTGGAGCTCCGGTATTGCACCCTTGCCGGGCGGTCCAGCCTCCGGGCCATGCTAGTAGCCCCAAGCCCTTTTGCAGGTCGACAATACATGTTCGGCCCCAGTATTACTTCATCTTTAGTTCTCAAAGAAGGCTCGAGGAGCTAGAGTCCTATTAATTTCAAGTTATTATGCTTATACTGAGAAATCAAACAAAATTATGAACAAACGGTTTTTAAAGTCATGCTCAAAAAATACATAATAAGATAGATTACTACAAAACCCATTTACTGTGGTTACTTTATCTAATGCACTTTAGAATTTGCATTTATTTTGTCTTTGAGGTTGTTTAGATACCAAAGAAAGAAAGAAGGTGCACAATGGCTCTGATGAATAGTTTGCCCTTGTGAAAGTCGGTGTTGTATTTCTGCAGGTAAACCATTTTTCGTCCTATCTCATATAATTTAAGATGTAATTTGTGCTCTTCTCATTCTATGTACTACCTTAATAAATTTTTTACTCTTACTTCCACGATACAGAATCGCATTTTTCAATAAGTTGTGTTTTTGTGGTTCAAGCTATACAGAAATTACAGGGAAGTGGAAAAACTGTGACCAGGCAAGCACCCAGTCTTGCAGAAAGTCAGCAGAAACAACAATCCAAGACATGAGGACAGAAGATTCAATAAATGCCGCTCATTAATGGAGGCATCAATGATTAAGAGAGATTTAAAGAAATTTATAAAGGGGAAAACAGAATTAAAAGAACACGAAAAGGTTAATGTTTTCTGTTGGTAGCTACCAGCTGACTCTCCACTCAGTTTGCCTAAGTCAGGTTTTTCAAATTAGTTGCACAGCTTAGTAATCTTGGGATGCTATTGCGTCTAAAACTATTTGTGGCTGAGGGGTTGGATTTTGTCTGCCTGACAGGTGCAGGAATAATTCTGTGAGAGAGTGTAGTATAAGGTACAAAAGGAGAGAGCTTGGATCACCAAATATAGGCCACTGTCAATCTGCTAGGCTTGCTAACAAAGTATTTTTCACGCATCATTCATCAGTAGTAAAATACTCGTCATATGGGGCGTCATAACGTCGGAGACATGTCAGCTTCCATACACACACACAAATTGGGAAACCGGTAAAGTTTGACTGCATTTTGAGGAGCTATTTATGCCTATGGGAAGAAACAGGGTTTAATCTGCACATTAAATTAGTGTTTTTTAAATGAGGAACGGATTTGAAACTTTTGGCCCCTGTAATTATCTTTAGCTTCTTAATTACGGTTGGAGAGTTCAACTATTCGGTCGTCATCAGCAGGGTTTGTTTGTGAACTACCTCAGACTAGCTTTGTGTTGCAGCTGGTTTTGAGGATTATGAGGCTCAAATTACGCTTTTCGATGGTGTTAGTACCCTGTCTGGTTCCTGGTCCAGGCCTAACCATACCAGACGCCAATTTTATTGGAAATAATCTTTTCATTTTGAAAAAAAATATAACTTTTGCTTCCAAGAAATGCGTTGGTATATTAACTCCTTTTGCAACAAGCAGTTACTAGTACTGGTTAAGTGATTAATAATTGCGTAAAGACTGAAGCTATACTGCTGACAATTTTGAGGCAGAAACCACAATTTTTCCAAGAATTGATGTATCATATTATACTTTTAATTGAGAAGCGGATGATCCACAATGATAAAGTTCTCCAAAACCGTAGGGTGCGAGCTGAGGAGTGGCACTTTTAAGTGGTCATTTTAGAGTCAGGGGCAAAAATGAGCATTTTGACGTTGTCGGAGCAGGGAGAAGTAGCCTGATGATAAACAACATGCTGTGTAAGAGATAGTGAAAAAAGCTTTTTTTTCTTGTGTTTTCTTTTGATTTGCGCAGGCTTTGACTGGAGTGCTTCAAGGTTTCTCTAAAGGCAAGAAGGAGTCATAATACTTGGGGAGAATATGGTTTTTCAATTTGCAGTGAGCTCTTAAATCTGCTGGCATGATCCAAAGCCCGGCCACCGGGTGGGAGCTCAAAAGAGTTCGAAACTTGAAACGGGAATGTATTACATTGTGAGACAGATCAGTATCAAGGGTTCGTTCCAGAATTGATGTTTCGTTTTCACCCTTGGCTCAACATGCTCTGAACGAGCAGAATGAGGCATATCAATACTATCCAAGAGGTCAAGGTCATATAGATTCGGCCAATGGCGTCCGCACAGTTAAAAGTTTAACATACGTATTGCCTGCTTCTTATCTAAAAAGAATGCAGCTAAGCATTTAAATTTGACTGGCAATTCTAAAGGAAAAAAGGACCAAGCCAACACTCGACGCTCAGAAAATCTCATTACCCAGGTTTTCTTGTCTATGATGCCGCCTAAACACGTTTTCTATCTAGTGCTACACTCTCCCTTTCCAGCCACTCAACAGTAGCCTTCCAGGCTAAATTCCAAACCTAACTCTTTAGCAAAGGAACGAAAAGGTCCTGAAATTTGCTATTGGTATGGCATAACTATCCCTCTGTTTGATCTAGAGCTTGAAGGAATAAAAAAAGATTATCGTGAAGCAGGCCCGGTCATAATATGGGCATCCTTGATGGCATAATCAGTTATCATTGCTGCTAAAAATCGAGGTGTTATAACCAACTTCTTGCGTTTCTTCACCGTCAAATACATCAAAAATCTCCTCAAACATCAGAGGAATAAAAATTAGAAAAATGAAGGCTTTCACGAAAGGCCGAAGAAGTCAAAGGATTACGGCGGAATATATAGCACTGGTTAACAAGAGCTGAGGCTACCTGTATGGCCAAGAAGACATGCCACCTGGCGGATGTACAATGGCTGAGCCTTAAACGAACGCGTGATGGGAAGGCGGAATTAATCTACCGCAGTATTGCAAAGCCTTCCTCTTTCTGCCAGCAAAACACAGTCCATGCTGTTAGAAGACACTTAAGAAGTAATTGCTTCAATGATCGTATTTCTGGGTAAATGAGGGGATATTTGACCGTAACGTTACTTGTAACTCTCGGCAATTCCACGGAATCTGGAGGTTTGTCCTGTTTAGGGACTGTGGTTGGGGAAGCAAGACGGTGCCGACTATATCGTGTGTCCATTGCTGGTGATGAAAACGCCTTCCCAGATGCAGTCATGATTTAGAGGATGGAGTTCCGCATAGTTCTATAAGGTCAATGCCCCACGTCTACTCCGCCTTGTCACTTACTTCTCACTTCAGTGCCGACCAGTCAGATCTATCTCCATTCTATCCAGCTGGTAGACAGGAGGAGGTATCGAGCATTCACATACTTGACATCTTCATACAGGTACTGCAGAACTTTTCCAGACGGTTCACGTCTAGTGTCGCTTTATTTGTCATTAGCTTTCCTACAGACCACGAGACTGGCATAGTTACCGAAGCTGGACCTCATTTTTAGTCCTTTTGCCTTCTGCGATCCTCACCGACTCTTTTTCCCACACTCTATTCACCTCCTCCATCCAGCTAAGGTTTATCACCAAGTAGTAGAAATCAGGAAAGTTAGCCTGTAAGATAGGCATCTCTCTCCACTGCCACTAATGCAGGGAGCCGGGACTGCTCTGAAGACAGGAGAATACAATACTGGAACAGTAGGATTGAGGGACGGACCATTGTTTAGAGGGCTGCCATTGGCGTAGCGTCCCGTGCCCTTCCTGAAGTCGAAAGAAGTCAGAATATTTGAGACCAGAAATTGTTTTGTCAACGTACAGAAGGACTGAGGCGCTACTTGGATAACCCGAACGTCCATAGGCAGAGGCTTCGATGCCTGTGTAGTCGAAACCCAGGCTTAAGCAAAGTATACCAATGTATACGACTGCTGCTTATTAGGATGTAACTTGTACCTTTTAAATTGACAGTTTAATTATCAGTTGTAATCATTGTCCATAATGTATTCCTGTCGTCTCAATGCAATGTTCAATGCAAGTGCTTGAGCCGCTGTTGCCCTTTTGTGGCTCCTTCTCATACCCGTGGGTCCTACGTGTCAGCAATTATGTTAGGCTGTCGAGACAATCTGAGATAGGAGTGACTATTGGACTATTAAAGTACATTTATGAAGGAGCACAAGCCACCCGCATACCATATCTGTATACCTCCATACCAGACACAAGGGCCCCCTGCATTGTTATCTCTATGCGGGTGCCTAGGACTCGCACTTGTATCAGAATTGATGAAAAATTTTGTTCCCCAAAACAATAAACCATAAAATTGCCAATTGGCCAAGGAACATATTTATAACTAGTAAAAATAAAACTGAAAACGCTTAATGAGGCAGTAGATAAACAATAAGTGGGGAATGAAGGCTCTGGTAAAAGGAATCACAACCACCAGAGTAGCCAACTTGGGAGATGTCATCGAAGCGGTGCTACTGGTTCTCGGTAGATCTTCTACCTAGTGTAGTCACTTCAGAGCTTGGATTACTTGTCTGCTGTACGGGTAGAATTTGGGAACCTGATGACACAGTAGAATAAGATGCATCCTAATATGCGACTCGATCCATACTAAACAGAGTAGGTTTGAAAAACAGAGGTGGTGAAACTAGATACTGAAGTGTTGTTTATTCTATTGTGTTTTTACTGTTTGAAAGGTACTGTATTCTAGCTTATTATCCAATCCATATCATTTAATCATATTTCGTTTGTACATTAAATAGTGAAAAAGATTCCAAGAGTATTGTGTAGACCTGTGAAATGCGTAGGGGAGAAATAAGTAGGTGCATTCTCGGCACGGTATCCCTCACCTTATATCCTTTAAATTGTCTGTTGATGCTGACAGATATAAGTCGAGTCTACCTATTTCTTAGGTTTGAAGGCTATTCTAAATTTGCAGAGCCTCCTTGCTAGGTAATGCACACCACTTCAGCTGTATTAGGTTCAAAAGGACTCCCTCTACTTGATAATGGTGCAGCGTTGTGTGTGCTGCTATTATCGCGTGAGTTCTAGGCAAATATGTCAAGAAGGATTTTCCGTCATGTTTTAAGTAAGAGATGAAACAATTTGTATACAGATATATTCGCTGGGATTGAATGGACTTACTGTTGCTCAACTGACAGAAAATATCTTCGGTTACCTCGAGAGATTAACCTACTGCTTCGTCCCACACCTCTTAGTTTCGTGCCAAGCTCTGTGTCAACGTTTTAAGTGAACTATCGCTGAGGATGCCTACAACTCCGGAAGGACATTCCTATTTGACCTTTGAAAGCACTTTATGTACTCTATCAACCATTCTAAGTACAAGGTCAAGAAGCCACTATAATAACGTGTGACCAAGGTGATCGAGAAACTCACGATCAGGTTCAAAGTCCCGTGTTCCTTGACGGTCTGCAAAGCCTCCAATCTTTGTGCTCACCCACGCACACCATTCAATAAAAAAAACGTCTCTAAGGCCTTTATCCATCACTCGCTTGATTGGAAATTTGATAGGATACAGGCAACACGGAAATAAAAACTCCAGTCCCACGTCAAGCGGCGTCTAAATTTATCACAGCCATAGGCGGAATTCTGTGACGGAAGTCGTTTTTCGATGGCAAACATGGAAAATAATAGTGTGACCAATCTCTCTGTCTCGACATAACTCGGTGTTAATGGAATTCCACTTCTCCCACAGGAACACCTAGGCCAGCCATGACTAGTCAGTCCAACATTGGGATGAAAGCCCTCGCATAGTATCACGACTTATTTGGATGGAATGGAATAAGACCCAAGGAAGTTACCACTTTACCTCATCCTCTATGATAATTTTTAAAGCAGAATTTATTATCATCCTTTAGTGATATTGGGCGTGCCAAATCCACTACCCGGAATCGGTGCTTCGGTAAGGTTAATGATAGAGTAAAGGAAATGACTATGCCCGGATCTGGGTCGTGCTTCTGAAGACGGAACGCTTCATGAAAGGGTGATTTGTAGCTGGATTTCTTCTGGTCAAGGTATAGTTATGGACTGTGACTCGTAATTAAATAACGATCATCACAACAAACAGTGCAGTCCTAAAATTGTCCCGTACTTATCTTCATCTCCTCTTTCGGGTAAAGTCGTAATTTTAAGTCTACTGACCCTACATAGCGTGCAGTCATTTACCAGTCAAACAGGATCATTATTTTTCTGCACACCCCACGTCAATTAAATGGCATTCGGGCATTATCATCATAATTATTTATGTATTGTGTATAACAAGAAACACCTTTGGGATATCCAAGTACCCCGTCAGTCCTTCTGCAAGTCGACAAAACAATTTCTGGTCGCAAATATTCTGACTTCTGCGTCAATGGCAGCGCTCTAAAT